AATAGTATCAATTGAGTGCTCAGTAGCTCTGTTCCTCCTTACAGAACCTTAAAATGGAGGAGATGGAGGAGATAGATCATCTGGTCCATTCCAGGAATCCACTGCTAGTGCAATTTATTCCTTGTAGTGGTGAAACCACTGGAGTCCCTCTCATATGGCAGAACCAGTCAGGTTCCTTTGTCTTCCTCCAACAGCAGTTCTCCTTGTCTTGCCAGCTCTGTGTCTTTTCCCAGGCGAAGTTCAGTCAGGGTTGCAAAAACATTGTAGTGGAATTAAAAGGGAAAGTACTAATACAGTGTTCATCAATGAATCTGAGGTTGTCTTTTCTAGTTCTAGATCTATATCTAAATCTGAAAAAAAGGGTAGATAGGGCAGTGACCCCATCAGAGGATTTGGGGTTCAAGTAAATATGTTGATGTTAGGCTTTTTTCCTGGCATTCCATGTTCAGCTTGGGTGTTGGGAGTTTAATATTATTAAAACTAAAATTCACTAATAGATGATAGAGAGATGAGAGAGAGAGAGAGAGGAATGGATGGAGAGATGATAGATATGAGAGAGATAAGGTAGATAGATAGATAGATGGATGGATGGATGGATGGATGGATGGATGGATAGATAGATAGATAGATAGATAGATAGATAGATAGATAGATAGACACATAGACACATAGATAGATGATTGATAGAGATAGATGATAGACAGATAGACAGACAGACAGGGTATTATGCAACATTTTGCAAGTGTTATGAAAAATGTGAAATAAAAAAATGGATTTGCCCAATTTATTCTGTGTAGAAGATGCTGCTATTCTTGATACGTATTAAATTAGCTTACTAAAACATTGCCTCTGGTTATTAGATATCAGCACTACCCTAAAGCATTTGGGGTTCCAGATGGTAGATAACCTCAACCTGGTGCTCCTGGGGTTATCACTGTATATGGCGGTAGGAAGATCTGCTAGGCGAGAGCTTGCCCTTAAGGGTTCAAGTGAATGTGCCTGGCTGTTTCCCCTCCGTGGCTGACAACTCTCCCCTCACCTTCTCTCCCTAGGTCCAGAAAGCCATGAAAGAGAATCTAGCTGCTGTGGAAGACAATTTTGCCAGCATCAACTCACGGGTACAGAAGCTGGCCAAATAAATCTCCTTAACAGAAAGGCAGGGTTGGAAGATTTGCCCACTCTGTAAACACACACTAATTGCTCGGTCCTTTCCCTACCTTTGTCCCTTTTCTTGCACATTCATAGCAGGAGTTGAACCTTCCTACAGGCCAGAGGACTGAGCGCTTCTATGTTAAAAGGCAGCTGTGCCCCTCCCTCCTCCCAATGTTTTTCCATGTCCCTGAAGGTTGCTGGTTGCAGAGGGGAAAGTGGCACACCCTAGTGGATGGGGAAGCTCTGTCCTAGTGAGGGAGTCACTCTTTGCCCATTTCTTGAGGAAGGTGCGCTGCCTCTTTGGCCCACAACGAGGGCCTTTTACAGGGAAAGGTGTCTTTAACGCTCTCAGCATGGAGTTGAATTGTGTTGTATAATTATTTTCTGTCATTAAACTCTGATGCTTACTGCTTTGTGCTGGTCTTTTTTTTAAAAAAAAAAAAACCTGACACGATACAGATGATTTTATATTTTTGTCTGTTTTCATCAGGGATTAAACTCTCCTTTGTTACTTCCAGGCCTAGAGTGGTTGTATCACTAGGTATCAGTGGGAGACTGCGCAGCAAAACTAGGCCTGTGAGCATCTAGTAGGCCGGGGCAGGGGGGGGGGATCCTCCAGCTCATGGTCTAAAGTTGGGCTGTGCAAACTTGCCATCTGGCACGGGAAGCTAATGAGGCCGCACATTCTTCTCTTCCCTCTGGGGAACGCAGCAGCTTCAGGGTTACCTGGGATGCCTTGGAAGTGGGCCTCACTTGTGTATCAAGAAAGGAAGAAGAGAGCAGAGCTTTGGGCCTGTCACGAATGGGTGTGGGTTTTTTTGGTTTTTTTTGCAACGTAACACCACTATTCATTTCTGATGAGCCCTCAGAGCTCAAAGATACACAAAGCAACAGAAGCAAAGTGAATCTCTTAATCCCAAATGCACAAATCACCCTCCTTAAATTTCTGCCTGCCACGTTGGCTCCCCTCCTAGCAGTTACTGTATAGTATGGAGTACCTCTTAGATACTGAATTGTAGTGAACGCTCTGGAAATGAAATGCAGCTACCAGGCTAGTTCAAAGATTTTTCTGTTTTTCCATTATTTTTGTCTAATTTCTCCCAGAATGATATTCAATATGATACACTGAGCTTTGAAAATCAAAAGCATTTGGAAGATTGGTTATCAGGCAATACCACTGGGGAAAGGGGAAATTTGTCTTGAATCTTTACAGGTGACTTAATGTCACTTCTGACTCAACTCGGAGTTTGTTCACTGAACTTTGCCCCCAATTTTCCTTCCAGCAGTATTTTGACATCTAAAACACTGCAGTTACATTGATCACATTGCCCTAGTTCAGGGGTAGGCAACCTTGGCTCTTTTATGACTCGTGGACTTCAACTCCCAGAATTCCTGAGCCAGCCATGCTGAGGGGAAAGGGAGGTTTCCAAGCTGAGCCTTGCTGGCTCAGGAATTCTGGGAGTTGAAGTCCACGAGTCATAAAAGAGCCAAGGTTGCCTACCCCTGCCCTAGTCAAATTATGTAGGGATTATTTTTGTGCATGTGGATCAAACCAGTTCATCTCCTCTTAGGGACAGAATGGTAGCCAATGTAATGATATCAAATTTGTACATACAAGGTTCTAAGTTCAATGAACAGATGAGCTGGGAAATATTGGGATTAAAATCCAGGACCTTCTTAAAACAGTATGATAGAATTATAAGAGTCATCTCATAGCTTTTTCATGTTGGATATGTTGAATAAAGAAAAAATGATTGGGCAAATGCAAAAGAAAAAAGAAAAAAAAAGATGTCCAGTCCAGGGAAGAAAAAGCAACCTTTGGTTGGAACTGTTAAGAGACGATCAATGAGCATGATTGATTTTGCATAATAATCTGTCTCACATTCTCTCTCTCAAGAAGCTGGAATATATAGCATTTTTAAATGTGCAAAAGTCTCTTTTTAGCACTTTTGGCTAATTTGCTACTTGCTGCTTTCATGCTTCCAAGGCAAGCTGATTATTGGCTGACAGAAGACAACGAGGTCTCAGTACAGTCATGCTCTCAGGAGGTGAGCTGAGGCAATTTAGTAATATTGTGTTACCTAATGCATTTCAATTACCGTTAGTCATGAAGAAAACGCTTTCTAATTTAATGCTAGACCCGAATGAGAATTGAAAGATGCACAATGCAGGGAGGCAGCTACCGATCTGCAAACAACCTGTTTCTTGTTATTGCTTGTTAGAGTTTCCTGCCCATTAAGACTGTTTCTTTTAGACAAGGCCCCTCCTAAGTTAAGAATATAGTCTTGTTCCAAGGCTAGAGTTTCAGCTGCTCAAAAACAATCGCATCCAGCTGTTTTAAATACATATTTTAATACTTGATACAAAACACCCCCCCAAAAAATAAACAAATAAACAGTAACTTCAATCTAAGCTTCAAAATATTTTCATCTGTTAAATTAAAAGTCGCTCCCATAGAAAAGCTACAATTCACAATTGTGTATTTTTATTTTTACAAAACAAAATTTAAGCTCAAAAAAGGAAAAATAGTTTTTCCACACCCCCATTCCTTTTTTTTCCCCTTTATACAAAAGAAAGGCCGAAGTTGGTTGGTTGAAGTGCATGGGAGGGAAGGGGAGACACAGCACAACTGTACAGTATCTACACAGTGCTTTTGCATAATGTGTCAAGAGTTGCAACCAGACGTGGGATGGGAGAAGAGTGGTGGTATGAAGTGATTTGGTCATTTAGAGATGAGGATTGTAGTGTATGTGTTTGGGGAATGAATGAGGAGAGGAGCAGGGTAAAATGGAGCTTGCTCTGGCAAAGATGGGCCAAGTGTATTTTTGAGCACAAAACCTTTTTAACTCTCCACCCCACCCCAATACGCTGTGACCTGAGTGTTCTTTTAAGGATTTTTTTTTTAAGGAAAATACAAGGAAATAATATATAGTTAAAAGTAGGAGTATTTTTTGTGTAGGGAAGGAGGGTGCACTTACAGTCCCAGAGTTCCAATTGGACTTGAGGAGGAGAACAGAACAGGCTAAGTTGCCACTCAGGGTCTGGCATATTGTCGCTCTCTTTGAGTAGCATATAAATAGAGGCAGTTGGGAGGGAAGAAACTTCTGGAAAACTGAAAGAAGGATGTTTCCTTGGTCTAGCGTGGCTTATTTTCCTTATTGCTTTGTACCTTGGCCACTGGGATCAGGACTGAGCTTGCCTGCGTGTGTGAGAGAGAGCGCATGTGTGTTATGTTTGGCAAGGCAGAGAGAAGTGACTGATTCTTGTACTAAAACCCTGAGCCGGTTCTCACCTGCGTGCGATGCACCCAGGTCTGAGGTAAGGTGGGAAGTGAAAGGGCGGTGCTGTCCCCCTCCAGGAGGACCCAGCCCTTGCTACTCCTTGCTGAGGTTTGGGGACCCAACCGTAGGGGAATCTCACCAGGGGTGGGGAAGACACAAAATCAAGGGCAGGAGGGCCTCCTGCGCCACCAAGAGGAACATTACAAACATGGCTTCAAGAAGTGCTATGGGCATGGCCCTCTTCCCTCCCCCCTTAGCCTCCTCCCGACAGCAACCCCTCTCCAAAAAATGCTGAGACCAGAGCTGCACTGTGTGCTTTTAGAGATCCCTCCGGTAAAAGATTCGGGACCCAGGCAAGTGGTGAAGCTAAAACACATTCATGGTCATGATGCTCAGAACCATCAGCAACAACCGATCCTCTTGTTGGTATTTCCTCTCCTCCCCTGGGCCACATCCACAGGCTGGGCCCCAGAGATGGAAGGGGGTCATGGATGGGGAGACACAGATGTCCCAAGCTCTCTTTGCTTAAGAATGGACAGTGGTGGAGCCCCCTCGGTTCAGGCAGTGTTATGTGGCCAATTTCCTCCTCCTGTTTTTCACAGGTCGGCCAGGCCGAGGCCGTCGAGCAACAGTGTAGTCAACCTACAAGGGGGAAAGGTAAGGAAAGACAAAGTTAAGGCACTATTCCCAAGTTGGGATCACAGTACCCCTCCTTATTCCTTCTTTTGCAAAGAGGGACATCCTCAGGAGCACATAATATACTGTAACCCTTGAGCATCCTTTCTGCAGTCCTTGTAAATGGCTCTCTGCAGTCACAATTGCCAAAAAGCTGGCATTTTTTTCCTCCATACTGAAGTAGAAACTAGTATAAGCCACGAAGGAGCCCCTTACGTCAATTTAAAAAGAGGCAAAACACACCAATACCGTATGTCAAACCTTAGGGGAATCCCCTCCCCAAGAAATACTGGCTTGGTTTATTTCACATTATCATCCACCCACCTATGAGGAAAAAAAATTACCAATGGGCTGGACCCTGGATCAATGCTAGGACCCCGAATCCGTGTAGTTTCAGGTCGGGCACTGGGCCGGACACCACTGCAAAGAGAAAACAGTGGACTAATAAATAACTTCTGAGATATCCTAGGCTTGCTTTGAATTCTGTTCCCTCTATGAATCCCATCCCTTCTAGGCACTGATTCTCACCTGCTTTTCCTCCTTCGACCACGTCGGGCTGGTCGCCTACCTGGAGGGCCCTGGAGAAAGAAATGGTTAAAGGGTATTATCAGTTCTGAAGATGTCAGCTTCCCAAAAGTACTCCAGAACTAGTGATAAAACCCTCCACACAATTTGCTTGATTGGCAACCCATGGTTTCACAACCATTCTACAAGGATCAGCGTATCCGTTCAACTTACGTACATAGTAAACCTTTCCTAAACCTTTTTCGTTTCAGCGTGAAGGCCAAGTGGGAAAATGTGAAAGTGTGCAGAGACACCCATACTTAAATGCTCCCTCGTGTAAAATGGGCAATATTAGATAGTCTGGCACATCGCTACGCGGTTCTCCTGTTTTCTACATGCACGGGTTTATATTTAATATTGTTAGAATGAGGGCAAGTTATTGAAACAGCAACACATACATACCTCCCCCATAGTTTGAAGAGTCCAAAATTCTTCCTGAGTAAGCTTTAGAATAGTCTTTTACTTTAAAACCAAAGTCCTCTGAAGAAGGAGCAATCAAAGGAAACAAAACAATGTTTGGGTTCACACATCACACTAAGCCATAATATCAGTCTTATCCCACTAGAAGCAGGTTATGTCCTGCAAGTCCTCTGCTACTTGCATCTACAATCTTCCCAGTCCTACAAGTTCCTCAAACAGGCTTCAGCCTTTGACCAAATCCCACAAGATCCTTTTATTAGGGGAGACTGGTGCATTAAATGCCTTTTTCCCCAACCTGTCTTTGTCTCACTGAGATGAAAAATTGCAGCTTTCAATTTCTAAAAGCAAAGCCTCATTTGACCTCCATATAGTGTGGAGTCAGCCTTGTGTCAGAAGAGCCCAGGCTGGTTTCCAACAGTGTTGACTTTAAAACTAAGACAGCTGGAGAGGTAGAAAGTGCTGCGAAGATCGGGGGGGCAATCTGTGCTTTTTAGAGCAGGGGGTGGGGAACCATGGTCCTTTTCTGACTTGTGGACTAACTCCCAGAATTCCTGAGCCAGCATGGCTAACTCAAGAGTTTTGGGAGTTGAAGTCCATAAGTCATAAAAGAGCCATGGTTCCCCACCCCTGCTTAGAGTGACATAAAACGCAAGCAATTTTGATTTGCAAACAAAAAATTTAGCCTTGTTATTTATTATATATGACTCTTGCTAACTGTATTATTTAATGAATAATGATTAAGAAAACCATGGCTTAGCATAATGTATGAACCTAATTGGTACCATGAAATCATATGGCTATTTGTCCAATGCAAGAAAAAAACCAAAGATACACCATGAAGCACTTTCTGGAGGACTATGGAAAAACTGTTCTTTGCTGGGAATCTTAAACGGATCTGGGCTGATGTAAAAAGAGCACTTATGGTATACAGCCAGTGCTCAACTTATAACCATTCATTTAGTGGCCAAAGTTACAACAGCACTGAAAACAATGATTCACAAGTGGTCCTTAGACATTGTCAGAGCATCCCCAGGGTCATGTGAACAAAATTGGTGTGCTTGGCAAACGGGCGTGCATTTGCAACAGTTGCAGACCTGGCCAGCTAACTTCCAACAAGCAGTCAATGGGGGAAGCTAGATTTGCTGAATCAACTGCAGTGATTTGCTTAACAACTGTGGCAAAAAAAAACCCCAACCATGTAAAATTGAACATGACTCTCTTAACAACTGCCTTGCTTAGCAATGGAAATACTAATCCCAATTGTGGCCAGTGTGGGATCCAGTGTGGGCTCAAAGTGGAATTATCTTTCACCTAAAGAACAGACCAATATAACTGCTTTGTGGACTAGGTGAAAGGTCCATCCTGGTCCAGCACTTTGGGGTTCAGTGGAGATGTCAATAAGAAAGTACCCCCAGAAAGCAAGCTTTTTCCTTTTGGGGTGTCTGGACAACTGAAGTAAAATAATTTCCCTACAATTTCCTTGAAGTCCTTCCTTGTTCCATCTAAGCCAGTGGTGGTGAACCTATGGCAGATGTGCCAGAGGCGGCACTCAGAGCCCTCTCTGTGGGCACACGTGCCATCGCCCCAGCCCTGCGTCCCCCCGCGGCCCCATCAGCAGACCCCCCGGAGAGTCGCCCCTGGGTATGGAGCAGTGCAGTCAAGCACATGGCAGCTGGGCAGCAGGGACAAGACTCCACCCTTGCGCCCCCTTGCAGGCAGATGATGCGGAGCGCGGGTGGAGGGCGTGGCCACCATGGCACTGCAGGGCCGCCTGAGCGATCTGCAGTGGGCCGTGGAGGTGGTGGGTGGTCCAACAGGTGGGGCGGGGGCAGGGCGGGGGTGGAGCAGGCGGGGTGGAGCGATGGGGCGGGGCGGTTTTGGGCACTCGGTCTCTAAAAGGTTCGCCATCACTGATCTAAGCCTTCCCCAACCTGGTACCCTTCAGTTATACTGAGATTACAACCCCCGGAATTCAGCCAGTTGACTGGCAATTCTAGGGGACGCAGTCTCCAAACACCTGAAGGGTAGCAAGTTGGAGAGGACCATTTAAGCACTTCTACATACCTTTATCTCCTGAACAGCAAATGGACCTGCTTGGGTTTCTGCACTGCTAGCCACCATTTCTCCGTTGCAACGCCAGGTGGGATGCGACAAATGTCCTGCGCCCAACTCAGGAAGTTGGCCATTGAAGTGCCGCCTGCCCCGGCCGCCCCGCCCACCCCCACGCCGTCCAGTCTTGCTGCCCCGGAATGACCCTCGCGGAAAGCTGCTGGCAGAGTCCCCGTTCAGTTCTTCTGGGCTACATCTGAGCCGCTTGTGGGGAGAGTGGGAACCACAGGCCTCTTGCCCTGCAGGGGCCTCCTGTTCTCCTTGCCGGGTTGGCTCAAGGGCTCTGGGAGTCTCTAAGGCACTTGTGAGGGCAGTGTCCGTGCAAGGGGGCAAGATAGCCTGGTGGCTTGGCTCAGTCTCTGGCACAGGGAGCACGCTGGACAAGACTGAAGCTGGAGGTTCACCGGGTAGCACCAGTTTTTCTGGGATACTGAAGCCGGGGCTTAGCTGGCAAGCACAGAGAGAGAGAAAGAGAGGGAGGGAGAGAGAGAGAGAGAAACCTTCATGAGATCATTTTATCTTCTCTACAGCATTCAGAGGTTGGTTCTCCCAAAGCCATTCTGAATTTACACTTTGCCAAGTAGATGGATATTTGAATGTTTACACTGCCGTTAAATATTCAACTTCTCAGGACTTTCTTCCTCAAGACCATCAATATCATGCTCAATTGGCTTACCCTGGTCCTTTCTCTGGTCCTTTCTCATCTTTTAACCTTTCAGAGAAACAATATATTGGACTGAGGTCTGGACAAAGAATGTCTAGTTAGTTCACACATAAACTAAGCAGTACATTGGAACGTCTTTGAGAAGACGTTGGTTGTTTAGACTAGGAAAACTGAATCCCAACTGGGAAGGGATAGGCCCCAGTAGAGGAATAAGGAGATTCCGCTGCCTCACTGCATTGTTCCCCTTTAAAACAGCTATTGGCCTCACTTTAATATTTATTCAACCAGTTAACCGAAGCCTTAGTGGCCCTGGGTTCTGCCTGTTGCTTTTGAATGCTAGGTCTGCCCTCATTCATGACTTGACTGTTGATGAGGATGCCAACCTGGAATTATCAATGAAACCTAGGTGGGTTCAAAGAAATATACCCATCTTGATTTCAGGTTTTGCTTACCCTTGGGGTACCACCCTGAACTGAAAGTTCTGGAAGAAATTGATTTTATTTATTATTTATTTATTTATAAAATTTACTGGCTGCCCATTTTACCATAGGATAACTCTAGGTGGCTTTCAGTTACATCTTAGTTAAAACTAAAATGTTAAAATCAAATCTTAAAATCAAATTCCCATGGGGAGGGGGGGCAGAGTAGGGTGGGGGAGGCGGGATCTGTTATTGATCAACCACCTCCATTGTGCTGATCCTTCACGGGGGGGGGGTCCCAAGCCGACCGGCACAACCCTCCTGTCTTTTCGTAAGGGTCTAAAGACATTTAGACCCTTACGAAAAGACAGGAGGGTTGGGGGGGTCAGAAATTTCTGCTTCTTCTGCTAGGGTGCATACAACAATTTGTTCACACTGATATCTGCCCACTGGACAAGACTTTGACAGCACCGGTTGGTCAGTCAGGAATTGATAAATACATCTAAGTATCACCTGCATACTGATGACACCTGACTCCAAACCAACAAATGATCTCTCTCGGTGTCCTTGAATAAACAGGTGAAGTGAGAACATAAAGTCTTGTAGCAGTCTACAAATCAAAGTTTTTAGATTCAACTTTCCTCATTTAACCAAAATCAGAAGGAACTGGCCACCCTATTTCTATTTCTTACAGCCATAGGATATTTTAAATTTTTGAGGGAAATACAACCGTACCCGACATCTGTTGAGGGAAATACAATAATACCCAACATCTGTCAGTGTCAGATCAGAATTTTGCCAGCCTGATTATGTAGTACCTCCTCTTTCTATTTATATTTCAGTAAATTAAGAAGTGTCTGAGTCACTTCTGAATATTATCTGTCTGTTGTAGACTTAAAACAAGCTCATGATTTGAGAAGATTTTGAGGAAGGAATCACTCTAAAAAGGATAGCTGGTTGGCAAACAACCGATGCAATAAAACCGCAGAAATAATTAAATGTCACCACTCTTAACACAACAATTTAATCCCTAAAATGGGTTCTTATGATGCTCAGCTGGTTCACTTGGTTGTTTTCCTCCAAGGGTTCTCCAGGCTTCTCTTCTGACATTTCATCTTTTGGAGTTTCTTGGAAAACCTAGCTCCTCCCCATTCTTCCTCCATGGGATTAGCAATAGCAATAGCACTTGGACTTCTATACCGCTTCACAGTGCTTTACAGCCCTCTCTAAGCGGTTTACAGAGTCAGCCTATGGCCAGCCCCCCCCCAACAATCTGGGTCCTCATTTTACCGACCTCGGAAGGATGGAAGGCTGAGTCAACCTTGAGCCGGTCAGAATCAAACTCCTGGCAATCAGCACTTCCGGTTGGATCGCGGCGCCGATGGCAGCTTCCCTCCGAGGCTGCCTGCCCCGAGGACACGCTAGAGCCGCAGGAACAGCTGTTCCGCGGCTCAATCCCCCTCCCCGGGCAAAGGGGAGGGGGCGAGCTTCCCCGATAGGGGTAGAGCTCCTTAGCCTTCGCATTTTTCCAGCTGTGAGGGCTGGGTGAGCTCCCCCAGAGTCGGGGACTTCTCCGTGCTTCGGGCTCCTTCGTTCAATAGAACGAAGCCAGACGCGCATCTAATCTCTGCTGCTTTAGGAAACTAATGACTGTGAGTAGAATCTAATATGCAGACAGAGCCTAACAGGATTTTTTTGAAAACTGTTTGAAACGGGACTTTAACTCTGGAATCTTCTTTATATTTATTCTAATTTGAAGAAGAAGGAATATGGCTGCGGAAGGGTGTTTCCTTCCGTTTGATTGAAACTTATGAGACTTTCATTTTCTGGAAATACAGGAGATTTTCACTTTTTGGAAACTTTCTCTTGGACTATTTTATTGTAACAGACTTAGCTACTTTGGATTGTTTGGGCAACTACTACTCCTCCATTGTTGTTTGAGGTTCTTATAAGACTGTTAGATTTTTTCTTTTAAGATTTTTATAAGATTTTATGAAAGAGAAAAGTAAAATGGCCTCTAAACGTGTGGGATTTTTTGCTTCTCAGAAAAGCACGATCTCCTCTGCAGCTGTTTTAACATCACAGCAACCAAAACTTGATATGCCTCCGCCTCCCCCCCTAACTTTAGTATTTATATTGAAAGAGATACAGGATGTATTGAAAGACAATGTAAGACAGATTAAAATGGATATGGAGAAAATTATTGATAAGAAATTTGAAGAGAAAAATGCAGAGATGAGAAAAGATTTATTGTTTGCCCTTCAAGGCTTGGCATGTCATGAAGAATGTGTTGATGGAGGGGAGGAGGAAGTAGAGGAATATGCTGAAAGTTTGGAATTTGAACTGGAAATGGAGGAAAAAGTGGACTTAATTCAAAATGAGGTCGTTATGCCACAATATAGAGAACTGGAACATGCTTTGATAATAAGAGAAAATCCTCGAGAGAAATCGGAGGAAGAGGATGCAGCAGATTTGGTTATGGTTCTGAATTGTCAGCCCAAAGATATTATGAGAGAAATGGAAAAAAATTATAGAATTAATTTACGGGTTGCAAGACAGAAAAATCTTCCAAGAGATGTTGTTATCTACTCTTCTAGAAAATCAATTCGTAATGGAATCATTCAGCTTTTTTATAAGCAGAAAATACCACTCAAAGTATTTAGAAGAAGAAAAGATTTTGCCCTTTTGTCCGACAAGATACCAGGAAGGAAGGAACTTATGAAGATTAAGCGGTTGAAGGCGTTATACTATTATCAAGTGCGACAAAATCACAAGATCAAGATGAAATTAAACAAGTTAGAGACGATCAGAAAACTTAAAGAATGACCCGTGCAGCTTATAGATGCAAGAAAGAGAGTAGTTAAAAATGTGGACGTATGAATTGAGATATTAATTTTGGAAATAAGAAAAAAAAAAATTTTTGTTTTTTAATCTAACTGCAAGAAGAATGAATAAGGCTGTGGAAGGATGTTTTTTTTTCTTTTCTTTTCTTTTCTTTGATTTTGTTTAGGGAGCAATTTATTATGTTAATAATAGAGTAGATTATGAATTTTAGACTATTATTGTTGTTTATAACAGTTTACTTATTATTATTTTTAAATGTTAGTATGATGTTATTATTAGTGTGTTTAATAACTGGATATGGGTCTAAAAGAGTGGGTTTTTTTAGTGAAGTTTAGAATGTTATTATTGCTTAAATGATAAAGAGAGTACTTAAAAATCTGGACGTAGGAATTGAGATATTAATTTTGGAAATAAGAATTTTTTAATTTATTTATTTATTTTTTCTGCTTTTTAATCTAACTGCAAGAAGAATGAATAAGGTTTTTCTCTTCTTTGATTGATTTTGTTTAGGGAGCAATTTATTATATTAATAATAGAGTAGATTATAGACCATTATTGTTGTTTAAATGTTATAACAGTTTACTTATTATTATTTTTAATTGTTAGTATGATGTTGTTATTATTAGTGTGTTTATTAACTGGATATGGGTCTAAAAGAGTGGTGGTTTTTTTTTGGTTTTTTTTAGTGAAGTCCAGAATGTTAATGTTGCTTAAATGATTTAGTTTTATTTTTTATTTCTTAAAATGATATTAATATCATTGTGTTTAAGTGAATCTTAATTGAATTTTAAAGTACTTATTTTTAATTTTAACTATTAATATGATATTATTATTGTGTTTATTAATTATATATCTGTTGAAAAGAGAGTTAAAGGAGGTTATAGATTTGTCATTTTAGCAGTTTTCAGATAGAGTTAAAGGAGATTATAGATTTAATATTTTTATAGTTGTTTAAGATTATTTAGAGTATGATTATTTCATTATTATTCCTGTGATTGGCTCTGGGAAGTGGGGGGGGAGGGGGACGGAAGGGTGGGTTTGAGGGAGGGATTTATATTGTAAAATGTTATAAAATTTTCAATTAAAAAAAAAAAAAAACCTCCTGGCAATCAGCAGAATTAGCCTGCAATACTGCATTCTAACCCCTGCGCCATCACAGCTCCTAAGTGCAGCGAGAGGCTGCATAGAGCGACCTGGTGCAGGGCCCTCATGACCTGGCCATTCCAGGCATAAACAGAGGTCTCCAACAATATGACCTGCCGGACCCTCAGGAAAAACCTCAAGTGTCCTCTGAAACTCCTTCAGGTTCATCAGGTGCCTGGTGTAGACAGCCTAATAGGTCATACTTTCTTGTAGTGGGAGGGGAACATTGCACAGGCTCACCAAAATAACAATCAAAGAGTGATCTAACCATGGCAAAGGACTGGTGTAATGTACTCTATCTTAGATCATATCACAGCTACCCCAAGGACAAAAAACAGATTTAATGTGTGACCTCTGGTTCTTTGGACGATTGGGTTGCCCTCAGCTCCTTAGCTGTCCCAGATTCAATACCATCCAGGAGAAGGTTAAAATCCCCAAGTACCATCAGCCCCAGGGAATCAACCACTAAGCTGGCAATGGAATCAATAGTTTTAGTGAAGTCCTCTAAACTGCCATATATTGTCCTTACGGATATCAACACTTTTCTTTTTTTTTTTTTGCTTCGAACTTAATCCATGCAGAATTGGCAAATGCATTATTATGAGTTACACATCTACGAATGAAACATGCTCTTTTATCCCAAGTATGGATTTTCTGCGTGAGAGAAGAGCTAAACGTTGCTCATCCATCTACCCTGAGCTGATAGCGCCACGCGGCTTACCTGTAAGGTCTGGAGGAGGCAGGCCAGGGGGTTGGAGCCTGCTAGTAAGGGCAGCTGTCCTTGGAAAAACTGGATTCCGAGAGGCCCTTGTAGACTGGGTGGCAGAAGAGGCTGCTGGGCATGGAGAAGAGGGCTCCCAATCAACGAGGGGCCTGAGGCTGGGTTCAGTGATGGAAGATCACCTTCACATGGACAAAAGCGAGGAGGACATTAACTCTGCTGCTGGCATACAGCTATCATCAGCACCAATCCCAAATACTTCTGTGGGTACTAGCAGTAAGCTTTTCTACATTTCTTCTCTCCCCTCCAAACGTATAGTGAACTGCTGGAAGGTCAGGAGGATTTTATCTGCTATCCAATTTTTGCAAGTTCCGAAGGCATCTGAAAGAGGCATCTAGGTGCATGCAACTGCTTTTGTTTGTAATGGATTAAAGCAAGCTGAATTGAAGAATCATCCCTTTACAACAATTCCTGCACAGGTAGAAGTTACAGCCAGTAAATATAGCTCTATTCCCTCTCCACCCAATCGTATCAGCAGAGGAATGCCAACAGGGGCTGGATAGGGAGAAGCAAATTGTTGGTATGTCCACAGTGGGGAAGACCTTTGCCCAAACTGCAGCTCTCCAGAGGTGGTAAACTATAGGCAGTCCTTGCTTACTGATGCCTCATTTAATGACAGTTCAAAGTTATGGTGTAAAGAAAACCAGTTTGTGGTTGTGACCAATCCTCATATTTATGACTATTGTAGCAACCCACGGTCACGTGATTTGGGCTCTTCAGTCGTGTACATGTATGACCACTGCAGTGTTCAGTGGTCACATGATTGCCATTTGCTTGCTTCACAAGCAGGTTCTCGCAAGCAGAGTTAATGAAGACCACAGAAGTAAAATCACAAGTCATGGTCACATGATGCCTCACGTAATGACTGGGAAATCACTTAACAACCAAAGAGGAAATGAGATCCTAAGCCGGTTACAATAGTGCTGTTGGTCTCACTTGTGGTTGATAAGTGAAGACTACTGCATAGCTCCAATTATCTCCTGCCAGGAAGAATCAGCTTGGAGAAAGCTAAGAGCAAAACATTAGAACACGGGTCTTCAAACTTGGCCCTTTTATGACTTGTGGACTTCAACTCCCAGAATTCCTCAGCCAGAGAGTTGAAGACCACAAGTATTAAAAGGGCCAAGTTTGAAGACCCCTGCATTAGAACAACAGGATATCTGCTGGAGGGGGGGACAGTCTCTTTCTGCTTAGGGTCAGTCATTTGGGCTTTAATTATCTTTACCTTCCCAGGAGCTTGGCATCGAACAAGATGACTATTAACTCACCCAGAAGTGTGGTACTCAGCAGCGGGTTGACAAGCTGGGGCAATAGGGGATTCAGCCGCCCAGAGGCACTAGGGGTACCCTCAGTAGTTGTCGGTGCGTTGTTAGTGGAGGTAGGTGCCACAGGAGTGCTAGCCAGGCCAGTCTGGGATGGAAAGACAGGAAAGGTCTGAGACAAAAGCAGAGCCATCAGGACAAGCCCCTCAGATGACTTCAGGAGCGAACTCAAAGCTGTTGCTCAGGTTCAGCCACCTCGTTTAACCCTAAACCGGGTTTCTATCATTTAAAGCAGGTACAGAGCTCTTTAAATATTGGTTTTCTCATTGTCTAACAACTAGTTTATAACTCTAAGGCAGGGCTCTTCAAACTTGGCCTTTTTATGACTTGTGGACTTCAACTCCCAGAATTCCTCAGCCAGGCACGGGCCAAGTTTGAAGACCCCTACTCTAAGGCAAGGTCTCCTTGGAATCACACTTTCTTAATAGATGAAGTCAACAGATTAGTATTATCCCTATAGTAGCCGCATATATCTTGTGAAAACTCGGCTAACAGCAACTACATTCTTCCCAACCTTACACGTTCCTAAGATAGCCTTCAATCTGTGACCAATCCCACAAGATCCTTCATAAAGGGGAAGACTGAGGGGTGGTCCACTAGATACGCTTTCCATCCAATCCTACCACATCTCAAGTGAGATGAAACCCTTCTAAAAGCAACTGACCTCTGGCTCAACCTTTCTTACCTGTGTGGGGCTCGGTCCTGTGTCAGAAGGGCCCAGGCCGGTTGCCAACAGTGCCGAGTTTAAAGCTAGGACAGCTGAAGGGGTGGAAAGTGCTGGGAAGAGCAGGGGCTGCAGACTTTCGGGCAAGCTGGCAAAGGGCTCCAACAATGGCTCCGTGGTTGCTGCTTCCCTCTGCCCTTCACAAGCTGCCTCTGGCAGTGCCAGCAGTGATGCCAGGAGCCCACTTGGCTGTTGTAGCAAATCCAGGCTGGGCAGCACCAGAGGCAACAAGGGCTGTCCGTCTGGCTCCTCCTGCAGGTTAAGAGGGGGAAGTGGTGTCTCTGGGCCCAGGGTCAGTGAGAAGGGGAAGGAGCCCAGGGGGAGCAGCCCAGGAGGTAGAGCATTCCCAAACGGCAGTGCTTGTTCCTGTGCCAGGAAGGGGAATGGATCGGTGCCTGTGGGCAGCGGGCAGCCCACACCCCCACCTTCCACTGTGCCGGTGGTGAGAGTAACAGGGCTGGGGGTGGGAAGGCCTCTGGGAGTCATGAGTGAAGCTGAGGCAGCAGCACCTGCGGGAAAGAAAACAAAGGCATCACCAATCACAGGAATGGCCACATCCCCTGCCTCAAGGGAATGCTTGTTCCCAGAATGCACTGCACTTTGGAGATGCCCTTTGTGAAGCCTCCAGGCCAGAGCAGATGCCCGGTGTCATCTGTAGCCAAACTCTCAGCAATTCACACTCAGACACTTACTCCACGTAATTCCTTACACTATTCAGAGTGTATAGTAAGAGTGTAGGCTTGCAAGCCACTTTTTTTCGGGGGCCAGTGTTCCTGTATATTTTAAGGGATACCCAGAGGGGAAAATTCATCATGGTGCAACTCCCCAATAGGCTGTTCAATTGCTAAAGGCTTAGGAGTTTTATCCTTTCAACCCTTCAACCTCAAGAGTTAGGAATTGTGCTTGAATAATTCTAACAATTTCATTCGGAGACCAGTGAAATCTTCTGTGACCAGACAGATCACCACTGAGGCACTATCAGCCAATCATTCGGTCTTGTCTGCTTCTCCTCTGAAGAGGCATCAGCTTCTAAGCCAGCCATCAGTAGCAGTTTCATCTATAGGTATTAGGAGGAGATATTTAGACTTCACATAATCCAAGGGCCGGATTGTACTAACTAAGCCATCATAGGCTTTGCTTTCATTGGAAAAGAACCTGAGGTTGGGAAAGATCGAAGGCAAAAGGAAGAGGGTGAGATGGTTAAGTAGCAATAGCACTGAGACGTATATACCGCTTCACAGTGCTTTACAGCCCCCCTCTAAGTGGTTTACAAAGTCATTGACATAGCGGACATGGATTTGAGCTACCTCTGGGGGATAATAGAGGACAGGGGGCCTGGCGTGCTATGGTCCATGGGTCGTGAGGAGTCAGACATGACTTAACAACAACAAAAATACTTTGGGTTGACAGGATTGGTTCTCAGCACTGATTCGTAAAAGCATTGTTTTGGGGTTAGCATAAAGTATAAGCCCACTTGACCGTGGTTTATTCAGCAAGCCTTAATTAAACCAAAACTGAACACATGAATCCAATTAATGTTTGTTTTATATTATAATACTAGCTGTACCTGGCCACGCGTTGCTGTGGCTCAGTCTGGTTAGCGTGTGTTGCTTTTATGTCCAACAGGTGGCGCTGTTTTTCAAAAAAAGCATGTTTTTACCTGTCACAGGTGTGACATCTATATAATAGTAGGTATATAAAAACACGCACGTATTCGAATGCAACGTTGCGTCAAAATTTCAAAGCAATCGGTGAAGAACTTTCGGAGATTTAAGATTTTGAACAAACGAACATTTACATTTTTATTTATATAGATCAGTGGTTCTCAACCTTTTTAATGCCACGACCCCCAACCGGTCATAAGTCGAGGATGAAACCGGTCGTAAGTCGAGGACTACCCAACCGGTCGTAAGTCGAGGGCTTTCCCTGCCCGGGAGCACCGCGCATGTGTGGTTCCGCCCCCTGCGCCGGCCGAGGCGTAGCTGGCAAGCGGCAGAGACGGAGCAGGCCGACCACCAGCTGGCCCAGCCCAAGGGAGGTAAGGCACCCGCCGGAAAAGGGGGAAAAATGGCGGACAAAAAAATGGCGGACAGCCTTGCTTGGCGACCCCCGTGAAATGGTCGATCGACCCCAAATGGGGTCCCAACCCATAGGTTGAGAACCACTGATATAGATAGTTATATGTGTTATCAGGGCAGCATTGGAGAGCTTCTTTTCCTTAATGTTGTTTTCCTTTTCTAACTCTTCCCTACTGTGAATGCCACTGCTCAGAAAGGGGGGGGGAATGCATCTCCTACACCAGTTCCCATGATGGAAGGTAGAGGGGAATATAGTAGTTGTAATGGCATTATGTCAATGGCAAGACTAAGCTTCTCCTCGCCGCTGCTACTCCTCCATTCCTCAATCTGTAAAGTTTCACAGAAGGGAAGATAAACAATTTAACCGGCACATCTAGTCTGGCAGTAAGAAGCAGCAATTTATCTAACTGCAAAGGGCAAGGATTAAACCACGCCAAGGTGTAAGCCACACGTACCACAACAAAGGCTGGTTTGAGTAAACTTTCACAGAATGGGGTATACCACTAACCGTCTCCTATAGCTATTTCCGTCTGCGTAACATTACATAAAACAAAGGCCTGCGTTCAAATGCCCGATTAAAGGGCACCTCTGATTATTCAGTCCCCACCATTTAATACATAGCCCTTTTGCCCAAGCTTTAACCAGAATCTGTAACTGATGACAAGCCTTAATTATAAATTCAGGATTGCATAGGCTGAACGTTGCATGATCAGAAAGGATCAGATGGCAACCCAGCTGGGCCATGGCCTTTTGGTTCAGCAGAGATAAGATCTGCTTTCCTGGCCCAGAAAAGGGAGGCAAGACAATCAGGAGGCATGACTGCCATGGGGCTGGCAATTCCCTGACTTTTTTTTTCCCCTTGAAGAGAAGAAAGAAGTAAACTCTCCAGGCCCCTCAGAGGACTGTCACTCAGCTGCAGCTCCCAGTCTGGGGAAGGACCAAACATGATGAAAGCCACCTCCACCTCTATGTACAAACCTACCTGGGGGTCCTTGGGATGCAAGCGGGGAGGTGGGAGGTTTTGGCTGCAGGTAACTCCCTGAGATCTGTTCGGAAGACGTGGAGGCCAGCTGACCAAAGAGGCTGAGGAGTTGGCTGTTGAAGTCCTGGAAGGGGGGCAAAGAATTGGGGCTGTCGCCAGCAGGGGCCTGGAGAAGTGGCGGCAGGCCTGGCGCAGGTGAACTCCCGGGAGGAGCCAGTAGACTGAGCAGAGAGGCCAGCGGCTGTACCGGGGTGGCTGAGCTTGGGGGTCCATTCTTGGCCTCTCCTACGGGGGGCTGGTCCCGAGGCCAGGGGTGTCGGGTCAGTGTCTCCTCAGGATGGGTGACCCCTGTCTGTCCTGCGTGGGAATCCTTGAGCAGGCGCAGGACAGTGGGGGAGCGACGTTGCCGCCGAGGTGTCCGCCCGCCCACCACTGACAGCAGCAAGCGGTTGGGTAAAGTGCTGGCAGCCAGCTCGTCAGGACGCCCCCTGCCGACCAGCTGGGCCTTGGCGGCTGCACTCAACAGACTGCTGGCTGGGAAAGAGCCTGGGCCCTGTGGAGGAAGGAGCAGCAGGCCAGGCGGTCCTTTGCTTTCCGGAACAGCTCCTAAGGGCACTGAGGGCAGGTTATTGCTGCTTTGGTTGGTTAAGGCGTTGGTCGGAGGTATTGGGTCCAAGCTGGAGGGCCTGGGAGCCAGGCGGTGTCCAGAGGGGCCCTGCTCGGAGGAGGCAGAGGAGTGCCGGGACCGCTGGGGAGAAGGCTCAGCGCTGCCTGCTGACGAGGAAACGGAGGAGAAGCTGGTGGGGGCAGGCGAGCCGGCAGCACTCGCCTGCGACCCATGAGGGATGAAACGACCACTCCAGGGGCTGCCCTCTTGACCAGACCCCACCTCATCCAGCAGGGGGAAGAGGAAACTGCTGGATGAATAGGGCCGGGGTGATGTATCTGCGGAGGTCTTGCTGGGCAGGAAAGAACCCCCGGCAGCGTTCAGCTCAGACGGGAAAGTCGGGCGGGCGCTGCCATTGACAGTGGCCGGCAGGCGACCTGGGAAGACATCCCCAAAGAGAGCATTGTGATGGCGGGGAAAGGAAGAGCTTGGACTGGACCAGGCACTGCCATAACGATCAGAGGGACATTGCAAGGAGAGATCCGGCCCCTTGGGCAAGCTGGTTGGAGCTTTGCTGGAAAGAGTCTGCTGCAGGCAAGTGCTGGGCCCTGGCATGGCCGGGTGAGATGGCAGAGTCATTCCAGCCCCTGTAAATAGAGGAAAAGGTGATTATTATTCTCCAAAAGAAAGGACAAACAGAAAGCCCCAATTTATAGTAGTAGTAGTAGTAGTAGTAGTAGTAGTAGTAGTAGTAGTAGTAGTAGTAGTAGTAGTAGTAGTAATAATAATAATAATAATAATAATAATAATAATAATAATAATAATAATAATAATAATGTTGGAAGGGACCTTGGAGGTCATCTAGTCCAACCCCCTGCTCAGGCAGGAAACCCTATACCATTTCGGACAAATGGCTGTCCAGTCTCTTCTTGAAAACTTCCAGTGTTGGAGCATTCACAACTTCTGGAGGCAGGTTGTTCCACTGGTTAATTTTCTAACTGTCAGGAAGTTTCTCCTTAGTTCTAGGTTGCTTCTCTCCTTGATTAGTTTCCATCCGTTGCTTCTTGTCCTGCCTTCAGGCGCCTTGGAAAATAGCTTGACTCCCTCTTCTTTGTGGCAGCCCCTGAGATATTGGAACACTGGTATCATGTCCCCCCTCGTCCTTCTCTTCGTTAAATTAGACATACCCAATTTCAGCAACCGTTCCTTATATGCTTTAGCCTCCAGTCCCCTAATCATCTTTGTTGCTCTTCTCTGTACTCTTTCTAGAGTCTCAACATCTTTTTTACATCATGATGATTAGATAGTAGGTATATATAAAAAAAGTAATTTAAAAATCAAACTTCCAAGTTCTTCCACCTTGGCAGTAAGATAGAAAAAACCAATCTTAACCACATTTCACATCTTCAGATACATATCTGTTCCCAGTTTTAAGACATACTTTTTACAATCGTGTCATTATGCCATTATTGTGGAATTATTTCTATCAGTGTTTCTATCATTGTTATTTATTTTTATTTTTGTTGCTTGTTGCTTTTAATCCTAGGCTTGCCACCCAGAACCACAGTTGCAAGATGGACAGCTATCTACACTGCCATAGTAAATAAATAAGATTATTGTAAGCCGCCCAGAATCGCTGGATATGAGATGGGCGAGAAATAAATTTTATAAATAAATAAGATCTTGCTATGGCTTCTGTTTAGAAGGCTAATCCAGAATTCTTACTCAGACTCTTGCTCGCCCCAAGCAAGAGGCCAGACGAGAAGCGCTGGGACAAAGAACAGCTGAAGAAGAGATGTACAAACAAGAAAACAAATCAGGGCATTCATCAAACAACACAGTTACCTGGCCCCAGGTGTGGCAGGCCCAGCGGTCCATGGCTCTCCATGCTGCGATAAAGTGTCGCCATTGCTACTATTTTCCGCCGGTGATTGCAGAGCTTGGTCATGTCTTGATCTCCCTTGCTGCCTTCACTCCCAATCACCATTGCTGCAGGGTCGAAGTTGAAAACCTAACCATAATGGGGAAAGGTTTAATGACTGAACATCTGCCCTTCCCTCAGCTGACAAAAGGTGCTACGGCAGGAATTTGCCCATTCTTTTGGTTCTAGTTGGAATCAGGACTGTAGCTGAATATCAGAAACCTCGTGAGTTTTTCAGCAGGACATTCCACTGATTCCAGGGGGATTTAAGTGGAGGAGCACAATCTCCAGCCCCTGATAATACATGTATGATCAATTAAACTTGTGTTTAATTTTAATCTGAATGAAATGTAACCCAACTGAGTATTGTCTAGGCTTCAACCTTTACTTTTTTGAGTGCAAGCCACAGCAAGCTACCTGAAGACCAAGTATGATACTTGGCCTGGAAGAAGTTGCCTCCCATGGGTTTAAGAGTGTGCAGGACCACAAACCAAAGCATTTTGCCTTTCTATACAAGTTTGTACTTATGGTAGCTAACTGTAATTAAATAACACAGCATAAAATGAACCATTAAAGAAAGGAGATTAAAATCGACAGTTAAAAGATAAATGGAAGAGTGCGTTTTGATTGCTCTTAGAAAGAAGGGGGATGTAAATGTACTGTAATTGTTCAAAAACTCTATTCCACCACCTGGAAGACTCAGACTTTTTTGGCCAGCTATAAGAGACTTAGAGTGGTGTGTGTGTGTGTGTGTGTGTGTGTACTTTAAAAGAGCCTCTCCCACAGACTTGAATTGCCAAAACAAGTATATAATGAGTGAAGGAGTCTATGTCAGGCCTGCTGAGAATAACAAGACCTCCCAAAGCACATACAATGTCCTCCAGATGTGCCATAATTCAGTTTCTATATATACCAAACCAGCCTAGCCAACAGAAGCTGGAACGCTAAGGTGGTAAATCATGTTCTTAGTTGATCTATCACCTGACTAGCAAGAAATATGTCCCAGTGATAAAGCACATGCTTTGCATGTAAATGTTCCCAGGCTCCATTCCTGCCACCTGCACATAGACTGAGAAAGACACCTGGCTGAAACTAGAAAGTTCTAATCAGCCAGCTAGAAAACCTAGCAGGACCCACTGATTTGCTGTTAAGAGTTTCCTACCTTTCTTGTTAAGGTGTTATTAGTTTCTTTTACTTGAGTTTGTTTCCACGCGGGCAAATAAAAAAAATTCTACCCCAGAATCTCTCTCAACATCAGATACTAATCAGTTTCTCTTTTAAGTCCTCTACCTTGTGCACGTTGAGGGGACACTCCAGTCCACACTTGCAAGTGCCGTCCGCCAGCAGATATGCACGAGTCTGCTCCAGTGAAGCCAAGCTTGTCCCACTAGGGCTAGGAGAAAGAAAAGAGAGACAGGCCAGATTAGCACAAAAGCAGCAGTGGAGAACAGAGGAGAAGGAAATATATTGGTTGGGGGCATGCTGTACCTGATATAGCACACTCTGCCCTCTTCCACCCTGCGCTGCCAGCCCACAGGCACAGGTGTGACTGCCGAGCGCCCACCTCGATCCACACCAGAGCAATCATCGCCGCCATTCATTGTGCTCCCTCAGCGCTTGGGCACCTGGAAGAACCCGAGGTTGTTAGGATGGCAGGCATCACAGTGGTCAAAGAGCATTGAGAGCAGCAGTAGGAGAGGATCCTAGCTAGTATTAGTGGGGATGAAAACATAAGAGATGTGTGTCCTTAGCTCCAAGAGCTCAGGATATCCTAAGTTGAGAAGGATGAGGCCTACTTTTACAGGCCTGACAGCATTGAGGAGTTTAAGGCATCTGCTTAAGGCATTCACTACCTTTACAAACAAAACATAAGATTTCAGCCTTGCTCAAAAGCCTGGCATCTGAAACTGGGTCCCTACCTCTAAATCTCCCAACTCCCCAGGTAAACCCTTTGGCAGAATAAACAGCCTGCCACTGAGCCTTTCCTATCTGGGAAAGGTGAGATTAGCTCTAGGACTGCGAGAGGCTTTGTGTCATGGGTAAGAGTTATTATTAGCTGAGCCAGCAACAGAATGGCTTCAGGCCAAGCTACACAAACCAACAGAATCACACTTGGGGGACTACACCACCTCAGATTCCAGGTAAGTGGAAGTCCTGTTTTCTTTTACAATGGATTTTTTTTTAAAAAAAGGATAATAACAACTCCCAATATAACTCCCTATTAATTTATACAGTCCAAAGTGGTACAGTCATAGAAGAGCTAACTCATAGGATTCTATTCTAAGATTATGAGGAGAGGCACAAAGGTTGGGGGTCATTCAAAAGAAAGACAGCAAGCAGGCCATGAATGGTAGCTGGAGAGAATAAAAGAGGGAGACAGAAAAGTGGCACTGCATGAACTAGGACACTAGTAAGACATGACTTAAACCAGCAGAAGATCTGAAGGGAGTGAGAGTAAACAGATCTGCATTATCCAAGCCCCCTCGCCCTCTCCTCCCCCAATTGAGTGGGCAGCTCTGCCCTACTAAACAAAATCAGGAGAGAGCCACAAAACAGCAAACAGCTGGCTGATCCTTTAATCCAGCTCTGCTATGCAGATGGTTCCTACCTGCTCATGGCTGCAAACCTCGCGGCAGGCGATGTTAAGACTGGGTGGGTTCCCTTGAGGCACTCATGGTCAGTCCAGTGGCCTCTTGTCTGAGAATCCAGATGGTGACCTGTCCAGCAAGCTCACGCCACTCAGTAGCCACACTAGCCTACGCCTGGAAAGGAAGGAGAACATGAGGTTGAGACTACACAAGTGAGGAAAAAGAGGGGAGATAAGATTCTCTGCCATTTTTTGGATAGAAAAATATCTGGGTCAAATACTTCTTTTTTTGGCTAATGTTAGGACACCATTCTAATGTGTTACTATTCCAGTCTGAGTTAGTAAAAGTTCTTGTTACTTTAAAATGAATCACCTTTTACTATTTGGTGTGGTACAAGGAAGTGGTAGATAGACGCCCAAGGAAAACAAGGCCTACCATTAGATTCCCAATTATTATGGAGGATTAAAATCCCAGTTTAAAGAAAAAAAATTGAGTATTTGCCAACTTTAATGTAACAGCAGGACAGAGCTTAACATATAAGGCCGTGGCAACCCTTGGGAAACTGACCTGCATGTATTGATGCATATGATACATATTGCACACCATTGGATCACGCTTTCTGAGCATAATCTGCACAAAAGTAAATCCTTAAGAGACAGTCAACTTGGAATACACAGATATTTTGGGTAACAGTTCCTGTATATACCACACAACCAGTTAACATGACCAAAATCAGTGATTCTGGGCATTATAGCCCTAAGCATCTTGAGGGAACCACCAGGTTACCTCCAGTTCTTGGACTAGACTACTACATCACTGCAGATTCTCTTAAGTAGACATGCAGGAGAATCCAGGTTCAACCTCTGGCATGTTCAGACAGAAAAAATCTTGCCTAAAATATTGGCAAAACACTACTAGTCCATGTTGATAATACAATACTGTACTTGGTTAGTTGGACCAATGGCTTGATTTAATGTAAAATAACTTCCTATATTCCTCCTAGCAAATAAACATTTAACCAATCAGAGGAAAGATTTTCAATCCAGCCCATTCCATGTTGCATGCAAAATCCTGAAATCATCTCTATTAATCTGGAATACTCCTCCCTAAGTGCATGACTTATAATGACTGGCATAAAAGCGAACCAATAGCCAATTGCTTTGGCTGCACATCTAAATCATATGCTAATTTTTCTTATTCATAAGAGTGGCATTTCTAGGCAGATACAAAGATGTAGACAAGATATTGGTTTCTCCCATGCCACAAAGAAAAAAAGCTTCTATAGAAACATGTTGATGCTGGCTGAAGCTTAGGGATGAAAAATTCAGAGAGTATGAGTAATGGACTGGAGCTTTACAAATACATTCATTTGTTAGTAGCCCACAAAATGCCTGTGGGCTAGTGGCCCATCTCCACATACACAAACCTGTTAGCCTATACAGACAACTAAGCATTTATTTTTGGAAAGCTCTTTGGCTGATTGGCCAAAGGTAAAACTTTGTCACCTAAAATGATTAGAAGAAATGCTTATTTAGAATTCTGAACATTATTTATTTTTTCTATCCCTCCTTTATTATTTTCACAAATAACTCAAGGCTGCGAACATATCCAATACATCTTCCTCCTATTTTCCCCACAACAACAACCCTGTAGCTTGGGATGAGAAAGAATGACCAGCCCAAAGTCACCTTGCTGGCTTTTATGGCTAAGGCAGGACTTGAACTCAGAGTCTCCCGCTTTCTAGCTTAGTCTAAACCAGGGGTATCAAACTGCCAGCCTGAGGGCTGGACGCATCATCCTGAAACCGCGCCCACCCCATTGCTGGCAATGGCAAAACCGTCCCGATACGTTGCATAACGTCATGTGACGTCGCAAGTTTGACATCTCTGGTCTAAACTGAATCTCACATTCGCTGAAAAATCTACACTCATCAGGCTAGCCAAGGATTAAACAATAGGGATACAACATATTATATTTCTCTTCACTGCAGTCATAAAAACTGACTGAAAATGATAGCCCAATTAGAATTAATTACTAATGGGGGAAAAACAGATTAATTTCATGTATTGTGTTAAACCAATATTTCTTTAATCATGGTTACATTGACCACAATTAAGCCAAAACCAAATGGGTCACATGTATATAGTTAATATACTCTTAATATGCTATGAACCAGGTCACAGCTTGAACTGCTCTATTCTTAGTGCCTTTAACAGTAGCCTGGCAGGCAGAAAACAGAAGAGAAAAGAAGATAATCTGTATTAATTCTACAGATCAGGTGAATGTAAAAAGTGTAAGACAGGATCAGCCATTAAAAAGTTGGCAGTTCCTCTTACCACACATAAATTGATTAAAATATACCTAAAGAACTCAGAAATCCAGAGGAAAAATACTAGGAATGGTTAATAGACCTGCTGACACATTGATTGGCCCCTCCCATTTACTCACTGACAGAACTAAAGGTAGACTGGGCTAAAGCAGTATAAAAGTAGATTTCTTATTTCAGAGCAGGTGAATGTAGACTATTTTTTGTGCTTAGGTCTTTTTCTTTTTGAGGAAACATCTGAAAGCAATGTTGAAGCAATAGAAAAAAAATGCTCTTTTTTTGAAACCATATGTGGGGTTCATCTTACACCTATATCATACATCTATATTTTTTACATTTAAAAAATTACTATAAACCACAGGGAGAAATCGGAAGGATGCTAATCTTATCATCCTTAAAGACAGTACTATTCCTGAGACGGGGCCCTGTCATACTAGTTGCTGCCCTGAGTGAAACTTAATACGTACATCTAAGCGGCTGTCAATGCAACAATGAGGTAAGGACAGTTCCGCATCCAAGTTAAAGTGCCCAGGCCTTGTATTGTCACTGACTAAAGTCTAGGACAGGTAGTTCTGGTTCTGTATCAAAGAAATCAACAATATATAGGTTTTAAACATATATTTTATACTAAGTATATATTTTAAAATGTTACGTCTTGGGCATATATTTTTTGGATATATTCAAAGCATTTGATTCTTTGGAGGGAATTTTATAAAGCAGTATAGAAAACTATGCTGACCCACTGCAGAGGATAAAAGATCAGAAATTATTGCCACAGTGTAATGGAAGTTGGCAACATGCTCAGGATCTTATAATGCAGGATAGCTATCCTCCATCAGGATATAGGTAGTCCTCAAGCTTATAACAGTTCATTTAATGACCATTCAAAATTACAACAGCACTGAAGAAAGTGACAGTCCATTTTTCACACTTACAACCATTGCAGTATCCCCATGGTCACCTGATCAAAATTCAGACACTTGGCAACTGACACATATTTATGACAGTTGCAATGTCCTGGGGTCATGTGATTATCTTTTGTGACCTTCTAACAAGCAAAGTCAATAGGGAAGCCAGATTCACTTAACAACCGTATTACTCACTTAACAATGGCAGTGATTTACTTAACAAGTGTGGCAAGAAAAGTCATAAAATGGGGCAAAACTCATTTAACATCTGTCTCACTTAGCAATAAAATTCTGGGCTCAATTGTACTCATAAGTCGAGGACTACCTGTAATCAAACGTACGCAGCAAAAAGATTAGACTACTCTCTGATTGTATAACTGCACTCTGATTAACTTTAAACAAGGCTAGCACTGTTTATGTTCTGCAAGGTGTGTTTACCTAATCTAGCTATTTTCAACAAACACATACTGTGTATTTTGAACAATTGGTAATATTGTAGAATCCAACCTACTTTTTTGGGGAGGGGGGAGGGGAATATTGTACCTGGAGCCCTCCAGTTGTTCTCAATTTCAGCTCCCCTAGCCACATAATAATTGCATGTAATTCTGGGAACTGTAGTCCAAAATATCTGGAGGGGAGGGCAGCATGTTCTTAAATGCACCAAAATAAATAAAATAAAATAAAAATCATAAGACAAATAAGCCTGGCGGAAAATGTAATATTGTACCATTAATTATTACTGCCTGGATTCCTGCAAGTTAATCCCTTGCACTAGAATC